GCTGTAGAGTATTATATATTTATTTCGGAACTCTGGAAAGAAAGAAATTGGACTTTCTGTAGATGTATTGTATATCTCAGGCTTGCCCAAAGTCCGTCTGTCCTCTGCACTTTATTCTTGCCAGGTTTTCATTCTTTCATTAAGTAACAATACTAAAAGGCTCTCTCAGAATGATTTACGCACCCGCTATTTTCCTCCATTTAATTATGCGCACCCCCTGTCACGGACAGCAACCTGGCATGTTTTTTTAAAGAACTCTGCTCCAATTTCCGTAAGCCCTAATCCATCTTGAATTGTCGGCTGGGTCCTTTCTCCTTTTGGGGAGTCCATAAAAGTTTTCTTTTGTGAAAGGGTATCAAACTGGGCGATTGTTCCATTAAATGTCACTGAGAAAATTGAATTCCTTTCAAATGAAAAGTTCATCAACAACAATAAATTAGATGGTCAGTTCTTTGGATGTTTCTGTGACAAGGCAAAGAAGACAATGTTTCAATTGTCAGTGTCACCAGTAAACTAACAGATGACTCTGCTGTAAATACAGACCACACACTTTACTTTCCCCAACAGTAGACGCACGGCCATATACATAAGATGATGTTCGGAACGTCAAGGATACCCATTAAAGAGACAGTAAAGAATATTTACAAAGAGTCTCTAAATGTATATTACTTTGCAGGAAAAATAATGACTATCCAAGATTTTTTTTTTAAAGGAGCAAAGAAGCGTTCGGAATACAAATGTGTACTTTCAGAGAAACTGCAATGTTTACACTGCAGCTCTAAGTATTCCTCCAGTGGCCATCTACCAGACAGCCAATGGGGGTGCTTCCTGGATTAAAAAGGACCTTTGGTTCGGTATCTAATGCTGGACATCCTCACACTCTGCGTCAGATTTTTTCCCCATAGGAAAGCATTGACCCATTTGCCACGCATGTGCATTAGCGCCCGCTCTTCAAAGGAAAGAGGAGGGGGCAGAGCTACGACCCAGCACTGAGGGAACATCGGTATTGGGGTAAGGTAAGTAAATAAAAGGTTTTTAACCCTTTATTCGCTCAGGCAGGGGAGGCGTGAGGGAGGGGGGAGGCAGGGGAACTATAGTGCCAAGAACAGCTTTGTATTTCTGGCACTATATTAACCCTTTAAATATTTTGGTCCCCAGCCACAAGTTGTAAGAAGTGAAAATGAAGTTAACTAGCCTTTTCTCCCGCTTTGCTCTGCGGTGTCAGGGACATGGCATCTGGACCACTTCATTGAGATGAAGTTGTCTGGGTGCCTATAGTGTCCCTTTAATTGCAAAGAAACACTGAGATTTATTACCTCTCCAAGATTTCTGTTCCACCCGGTTAATCATTGCAGCTGTCACTGGCTCACTCTGCAGCTGGTTCTGACCCAAGCAATAGATTTATTGACCATTCTTGCTGTAAACAGTGTTCTATATGGGCATAAACACTTTGTCTGAAGGTTCTAGTTTAGTTATCAGTGTTCTGCTGTAGAACGTCACAACAACATGGGTAGCAATAGACAGAGTGAAAAACAAAAATCTAAAACACTGCTTGTTGAGAGGGAGGGACAGAAATTGGGGCTTATAAAGCATGTAAATATATACCTTATTACTTTTTTTTTTTTTTTTTCAAAGGGACCCTATAGTCACCCAGACCACTTCAGCTCAATGAAATGGTCTGGGTGCCAGGTTCCTCAGGTTATAACCCTTCAGATGTAAACATAGCAATTTCAGAGAAATGTTTACATTGCAGGGTTAATCCAACTTCTAGTGGCTGTCTTCCTGACAGCCGCTAGAGGCGCTTCTGAGACGCTGGATGCGAAATTCGCATCCAGCATGCAGAACGTCCATAAGAAAGCATTGAGAAATGCTTTCCTATGGACTGTTAGAATGCATGCACGGCTCTTGCATTCCGCGCCACTCAGGAGCTGACGTCGGCGGGGGAGGAGAGGTCACCAGCAACGAGGGAGCTTGGCGCTGGATAAAGGTAAGTGACTGAAGCGGTTTTAACCCCTTCAGCGCCAAGGGAGGGGGACCTTGAGGGTGGGGGGGTCCTAAGGATGATACAGTGTCAGGAAAACAAGTTTGATATAGTGTAAGGAAAACAAAAATTGTTATACTTCTGTATCTTTTATATGTAATACAAATGTTTGTGAGCTCTACAAAAAATAAAATTAAATGAAGAAATCAACATCACTGAATACATCCATGTTCCATGTTAGTTCCCTGTCAATCATGGTTATAAGCTCTGGATTTTGCACCTGTCAATCACCATACAGACAAACAATGTCTGTTTCATCTTCTCCAATACAATGCGTGACTGAACTGAAATGGAAAATCTTTAATATAAAAGAAAATGTATCAAATGAAAAAATGATTATACAATTCATAGGGATTTTAATGTGTTATTTAATAAATGGGGGAAAATCAGGGTTTTCTGTCCTTCAAGCAAAGCAAATTATTAATGAATTTGTGTGTGTAAAATAAATTTGTTATAGTCTTATCAAATACCTTTGGAACTTTATACAGGAAAATATACAATGTATGGTATTACAGTCTGTTAAAGTATTTAAAGTATTTTACGAGCTGTATGGAAGATTTTTCCCAGTGACTGACATGAAAAGGTAAACATTACATTATTTACATAGCAAAAAGTGAGAAAAAAAGAAAAAAAAACTTCAGAGCAAAGAAATGTATCTGTTTACCCAAATGACTTTGTATCCTTTGAAGTGTAACAAGCAGTGTGTGCGGTTTACTGTGGTGTTTTGCGTAGGTTTTATAATGTATTTCTGGATGAGGCTGAGTCATACCTGGCCTCCATTGTGTGAATCTGTCGACATTTGTCTCAGGTGACTTTTATACAATCACGCTCCTGTGTAATGTCCCTCGTCGCCAAGCTGTGCTCTGACTTCTCGCTGGGATTCCAAGCGCTGGCCCTTCCCATGCACTTCGGGGCTAATTCCCTAAACAGTAAGTTGTGGCAAAGGGACACTCGATTTGCACGCTGTAATCAAGAATAGCTTGAGATTTGTATTTTTTCTAATTGCCCATTTTGGTGCGTTTTCACCTCACTGGAAACACGGCACAACTTTCTATTTAGGACGTTCTTTACCGTACATTTTGGTCGACATTTTATTTGTTAATTACTTGCCGTTAAACATGCCCACTGTGAAACGCAGCAGATATAATGAAGCCATGAAATAATAGTAAAAAAATGAATCAATAGCAAGCCTTTGTCGTTTATGGTGTAGCAAGTATATTTTATTCTAGGGTTTAATTTTTTTTTTACATTTTATTCCATGGTTCAAATGACACAAGTAGTCCCCAGCCCCCGCAGCCAGAAAGTGCCGGTTAGCTTGTATCCCTTGATCATGCCCAAAGCCTGTATTAAATGTCAAATCATTGTAATGAAGATTAAAGTTGGCAAAGAATTAGGCCCTTGATTAATGAGTTTAAAGCAGGCTGGAGGTACATGTGTATTCTGTTACATTGCGCTCACTTTAAAAGGCTACTCTTAATGATTAATAATGTACTAATGGATTTAAATAAAGAAGTTTTATCCTGAATTAATTACACTGGGCATTAAGTCTTCAGTAATCATATGAGTTTGGCTGATGTAGAGGCTTGTGTTATCGGGTTTATTCTTTCCGATAACTAAATTAAATACACCAGGGGTTATTTTCCTGAACATTCGTTTACAAGGAACAGGGTGATTTTATTTTTATTTTTTTAAGTAGAAACCTCTTTCAAAATCACAGCTTTCTCCCCAAAGCAGTAGATATTTAATTTTTTTTTTAAATCCAAACATTTGAATTCTAAAAAAGTTTAGAATTTGGAAGGGGGAAAAAATTTATATTTTAGTGACGGAAAAAAGTGTTTGTCATTTTTATTTTCCTTTGCAAAAATACATTTAAAAAGTATTTAAAAAGAGAATTGAAACTATTTTTGTTTATTTTTTGCTTCTATAAAAAAAAAAAAAAGCACATAGTTTAGGAATACCAGAATAATTGGTACTTTTAAAGCTACACACCATTGTATTAAATGCAAACACACAGCAATTTCTCTTTGTATGAAATTGAGAAAAAAGGTTGTAAGACCAGCCGTGTTTTTCCTGCAGATGTGTCCGTTTTACAAGTCAAGTCGTGAGACGTAAAAAGTGCGATTCTGTAGTATGTGGAATTCATACAAGAGGAAAATTAATTCATTAAAAAGGGATCGCGGGGGGGCGTGGCTAGCTGAGCAGCTAACAAGACGTGCAAGTGTAGAGCTCCGGCTAAACACACCGTTTAAAAAGACGAATTGTCACAAATTTCTAACAACCAGAACAGACATCCAGTCTAATATTGTTCTAGATACCCCCAACCTTGAGATGGGGCGAAAAAACAAGAAACAAACCTGCCTGGAGGGCTCAAACACGCCGGACATCAGGCAGTCCTTCAATAGGCCGCAAAGGATAACACAGACCAAGATGGCGCAGGATAGTGACCAAAGCTCTAGTGAATCGGAGGCACTGGCCCATGAGCGGGGCCCCCCAACCACACAGAAAGCCAATGCAGGTTATCGGACAGGAGAATCCGACTCTGACGACTCGCCCTCTACAAAGGGCGATATCAAAAAGCTGTTACTCGACCTACGGAAGATATGGAAGTCTGATCTGGACAAGGTATGGTCTGAAATAACCGGAGTTACAGCAAGACTGGGTGCAGTGGAGAATAGAGAAGGGGACAGAGACGTTCTCATTGCCGAGACCCAAACCCAAATGACCTCCCTGACCCAACAACTCCTACGACTTACCCGCACAGTGACCGCGATAGAGGCCAGGCATCGCAAGAGAAATGTCCGCATTCGCGGAGCACCTGAAACTATAGGCCCAGAAGCCTTACTGGAGTTTACCAATAAACTAGCGACCGCGATGGGAGCAAAGAAAAATGGTGAAATGTGGCCCATCACAGCGGCATTCAGGATTCTGAAAGCCATGGCTGCCCCTGCAGACGCACCCAGGGACATTATTGCAATCACACGAGACATTACGGTAAAAGCGGCGATTATGGCTGCCTCCAGAAAGACACCCACCGCCACAGTGGATAACCTACACATCAAGGTATTCGACGACTTACCATTTGCAACTCTGCTAGAGAGGAGAAGGTTCATGCCAATCACCCGGCAGCTGAGAGACCATGGCATCAGATATAGATGGGGTGCATCTGGCACGCTGGTGGTGAAATGCAAGGACGGAGTATTTTCATTGTCAGCAGAGGAAGACCCTACGAACTTCCTACAGGAGCTCCAACTCCCCCAGCCAGAACCCCCTGAACAGGGGAGAAGCAAGACCCCTAGCGCCACAGGCGACAACGCAACACGGGAGAAAGGCCCTGAGGGGTCAGAGACACAAAGAAGGCCATGTCTGCAGAACCCCCCATAGATCTGCCAGACTATAAGAGAACTGATCACATGCCTGCCTACCTGGTTGGGTGAACTAAACTCCTTACAGCCCCTCAAGTACCTCGCATTTTATTTAATGTTGTTTTATTTAATGTTGTTTTCAGCATGTTTCCCCTTTAGTTGAGCTCTTCCCTCTTAGTTTAAAATCTTTTATTCAGAGATGCACCAACTGATATTATATAGATGGCCCCATGGTACTTGACACCTCGGGTTCAAAACACCTTAACCACATGACCACCACCAGAGACATGAGCGACGATGGGGTAATACAGGCAACCTAGAGAGAGGGGGTAGGAAATGGACACTATACACAGGGGGAGGGGGGGGAGGGAGAGGGCAAACATCATGCCACCAAAGTACACCACACAGCAAGCCTGGTTACACGACACCTCCTAAGCAGAGAAAAGTACACCCCAGACGAACATATAGATAAGGTAGAGCGTAACCCAAGGGAAGCAAAGAAAGACATACAACATGGACAGACGCGATATACCTATAGATTATCAGGCGCACACCAGCAATAATCATCTACGTGACAAATCTCTAACCAATCCCTAGCAACGACGGAATACAAGGCACCAAACACTGCAAGCTTCTGACAGCCAAAACATGACTAAAGGAAAGCCGGACAGGTCTCCCGCTCTCAGTCAGACATAGGTCGACCCCCAAACCGACCTTATCACACTCACACCCAAGACACTATTATTACTATTTTCATATGTTTAACCTATCACATTAACATCTTGACCTACTATTTTTTTATTTTTTTTTAAACGTTACAACCTTTATAACGAAGACAAATGTTAACGATATCTAGCTATTTACTTACTACTAATCACTACCGGTAACATAGTACGATTTGTATCGACCAGTTAACCTATTAAATTGTGCAACTTACGAATATGTCATGACACTGTATACCATGAATAGCAAGCAGTTGCTGTTGTGGCACTGCGGGCACGACTGTTAACCTCATTGTACTATCAAAATAAAGAATATAAAAAAAAAAAAATTAAAAAAAGGGATCGCAATGTAGTTACATTGCCTACTACCGATTCCCCTTCTCTCAGCACATGGATGCTGCTTACCACACAGTAGCATTTTTCATGTACTGCCCACCAGCACGATGACGTGATCCGTGCTCGGGGGAACTTTCCTACTCAACCAGACCACCAGCCAGTGCATGATTACCCACAAGGTGACCCTAGGCAGCCGCCCAGGGGACAAGGAACAGCAACTAACAAATTGCTTAGAACCATAACCATTTCTACTTGGAGGACCCTAGGGGGCCCTAAACGTATAACTGACCTAGGGACTGTGGGATCTAAATCATTCTATTGAGACAGCCACTGTTGATTGGCTGTGATACATGCGAGTCAGTGTACAGGTGGGCCTTCGTCTGGTAAGCCTTGAGATGGCAAAGACATGTCCTCCAACGCCAGACAGGTCTCATTGTGGCTTTAACTTTTTCGTCACTCATGGAAACAAAAATAAAATAATTAAAAAGGTTTATTTGTGCATTAACTAAAAGCAGAGGAGACATGGGGGCAAGTTATATTGCAGGTTATAATTTGATGGGAAATACATGACTCATCCTTGACGGAGATGCTGGAACGTGTTTCACTGAGAAGATGAGGGATATTGAAACAAGCAGGGTTATTTATGAAAGTGAGAATTGTCAGGAATTCAGAGTGAAGTCTAAGGCCAAGTAGCTAAACTGGAAAAATTCAGCAATACTTTGGCCTTAAATTTGAATAACAAGGTTAGTGTTTGCTCTTAATATTATATTAATAAAATAAATATATAAAAAAACAACAGACAATTGCTTTCATTTCTGGATATCCTTAATTTGTAGATAATCCCCAGGATTTGCTGATTCTGCAGGAACTGGCTGTTGTACCCCAGAGTTAATTTTAGCTGCACATTTCAATTTAGTTTTAGTCATAGCCTTTTGACTAGAAAGCCATTTTAGTTTTAGTTGTATTTTAGTCATTGTTTTAATTTTAGTTGACTATATCTCAACTTTTAATCAACTAAAAGTGTTAGACAAAATTAACACTGTTGTACCTGTTTCATCAAAAGTGCCTTTGCATTAAACCATCTTTCAAAGAAGGATTATTGAGAATTAACAGCACCTTGCAAATTCTAGCCAAAGTAGGCAAATTAAAGAAATTCCCTATCTCAAGCTTTTTTCCATGTGAGCTATTTTAGGGTAAATTTTGCAAATCTGGTGTCGGATCTCCACAATTTTCAGTTTAGTACATAGGCCCAATAATATTAGATCAGACTGAAAATCTCAGTAATTGTAACCAAAATTAGCTGTCAGACAGACAACAAATACACGTTCCTCTCCCTGCAACAATCATTTAGTGATCTGAATGTTCCATGTTCTTTAATGTCACAGTATGACAGCACCGTCTAATCCCTTAAACGGTCTGTGTGCACCTGGGGCAGAGATTTAAATCCCCTATTATATTGATTGTAGCATGCATTGTCTCTTACAGTTAGCGTGAAACTAGCTAATACCCAGCTAATAGCAGATGGCTGCTTTCTCCAGGTCCCTGAATGTTCACTTCGCTGTTCAGTAATAAATAATCAACTCCCTTTACAGGATATGTAAGTTGCTTTTAAAATACATTAATTGTTAGAACCATTTAATGGATGTTGAATGTTAACCTTTTTGTTGTAGTATTTAAATGTGTTTAAAATATAACCAGGCCATTCAGGTAGAAATTAAACAGTGCATTATATACTTTTTAATTCGTTTAACTTCTAAAATGGGTGGATAGGTAGCATTTTTGAGATCAGTGAAGAAAATCAAGGACATGTGAACATTTTCAGGAGTCCTGCATCCCAGCAACATTCACAGTGTGCATATCTGTAGCTCAGTGATCCTGCCTCTAATGGTGGACTAGTGAGATAGGGCAGGTCCACGGTGATAAAGTGTGAAGATAACCAATACGGACATCAAACCAAAACCGTGGTGTAAATACGTGCAGTGAAGAATCAGTGTCAGAGAATGCCAACTAGACTGACGTGCAACTTTTGTTGGCATCACAAGCCTTGCATCACTGGTACGCCCACAGTCCTGTATGGTCCCCTTCCAGCCTGACTTCATACCAGGCTGGGAGTTATGGAAGCCCTTATTTTGGGATCTATTCTGGGAGTGTGATATTCCACAACATCACACTGTCTTTTAAGGCCCAGGCTAATTCATTGAAATAAAAATGTTAATGTCATAAAACAGTGAACAACAACATTATCTTGCTGCGATCAACCGTAGTGTTCCTTTTCCAATATACTCGACAATCCAAGTTAAAAACTGTGTCACGCACATAACAGGGTATAAATTAGTGCGATATTTAAATTACTAAACATGAAACATCCAAAAGGATAAAAAAAACAACAACTTATGTTGTGACTTTTAAACGTTCCAATATTTTCTACCATGTAGAACAAACAGCACAGGAGAAAAAACAAAACCTACGGTGGAGAGTGTCATATACAACAAAGAATAAAACATTTAAATTTAATTAATATGGCACAATTTACAGTAAAATTTGTGCAAATGTCCTCTGTGGTGGCCAGGGTTATGGCACAGGTAAGAGAGACTTCCAGTGGAACCACAGCTAAGATCTGGTACCCTGCGACAAATGTAAAAAAGTGCTCAGATAAATTTTAGTCCGAATAAATTGATTAGTCTATTCACAAACTATGCATTTCGCGGTTTGTGGTTTCATTTATATGCTGAAAAATATGGGGGAGTTGAAAAGAACACATCTTTGTTGACATTTTCGAAGGGATTATTATGTGATCATCATCATCGCATTGAACATCTTTGGCATTTAACAGGGTAATATCATCCATTGTATTGTTGTAGGGAGTAGTTTTGTGCAGACAAGCCTAATGGATTTCCCATGCCATATTTTATGTATACATAGCTGTGGATGACATATTGTTCGCCCTACATTTAGAACTATAATAGTGTCTATTGTCAGGGAGTGTGCACCCCGCAGCCACCCCTTCTAATTTCCATTTTCTTACACGATTCACCTGCCACGACACGTTAGTCAATTGAACCAAACCCATGGCGTATTTGGCAAATGAATGAGTGTGAGAGGGGACTATAAAAGTAAATACAAATCTTTTGGCTGAGGCTGCCGGAGGATGGGAATAACTCGGAGGTGAAACGTCTTTGGAGGTATAAGACATAACCTATAATTATCACTAAATTCACATCAGACAAATAGCTCAGTTGTATACATTATTAGCCATCTAAAGATCTTGAGCAGATTGGAATGATATAAACTTGATAACATCATTATCCTGTCTGCATCTGTGCATCTACCAAATGGATTTTTTCATTATTGTGAAATCTTCCTAAAATACAATAAAATTAGCATATATATATATATATATATATATATATATATATAGATAGATACACACACACACACACACATACACATATAGCTACATAAAAGACAAAAAAAAAAAAAAAATCTGTGCATTCTTCATAGGCAATAATATTTAATGACTGCTAATTAAAGAAACACGTAAGCATAGCATTAGGAATACAAAACAGGCTAGGCCTTCTCCTCCCGCAGTGTCACGGAGATGGTGAGATTTAATGTGCATGCGTGGCGCTCAGTGCATGCGCATTAAAGTTTCCCCATAGAAAGGCATTACATCAATGTTTTCCTATGGGGAATTTGAAGATACTTTATGTCCTTATGCAAAGTGTGAGGAGGTCCACCATTGTTTAATGGCGTAA